GTATAGAATGCGCAAAATTTGTTTTGGACGCTTTTGTATATGTGCATACATTCTGAGTCATTATTTTTTGGTTTGCAGATAAAACAGAGGCCTGTAGCTCCACCAGGCAGTGCACCCTTTGTAATTCATGAAGACCCAGACAGCGAACTCCCACAGGAGTATGTTTTGTTCTGTTCTTCTGTTTTTCTGTGGCTTTTTTTTTTTTTTTAAAATAATGTTTTTGGGTGTGTTTGTATTCAGTTCAGCTCTGTATTTGTGTATGAGAGAGAGAGAGAGAGAGAGAGAGAGAGAGAGAGAGAGAGAGAGACAGACAGACAGACAGACAGACAAAGAGAGGGAAACAGACAAAGAGAGAGAGCTCAATTATGGAGGAAGAGTCTATACATTATGTATATCCATGAGCTGTTACGGCATATACAGACATTTCTCGGTGAGATCAATAAAACTCTTATCGTCACCGAGCACCAGTCACCATAGTGGTACGTGTAATGGTTAGGCTCTAACTGGAGCACTTCTGGCATGTTTTTATCCCTCCTAGCCCAGATAACCTAAACAAATGGGTAACAGGGAAAGATCAGGGAAACGTAGCTTTTTTGAGAGCATCCGAGCAATGAATGGAGCAAATTCATCTCGAATGAATGGAGAACCATGATCACCGATATCTGTCGCAGATCTGGCACTGGATGATGAAGATGAGCCCAGGTTGGCCCTGGCAGGCAGGGTCGAAGTTTTCCTCCCTGGCGATCTAAATTAAGTGATCGCTTTGAAAGACAAGCGGGCTAACCCCATGAGCTCGAAGGTGATACAGTTGTTCAAAGAAAGAGACCCACCACATGAGCTCTAAGGTGGTACAGTTGTCCAAAGAAAGAGGACCTACCCAATGAGCTCGAATGTGATACAGAGATGCAACCATGAGATACTATTGTCCAAAGAAAGAGACCTACCCAATGAACTCGAAGGTGATACAGTTTTCCAAAGAAAGAGACTTACCCCATGAGCTCGAATGTGATACAGAGATGGTTCCGGAAGTAGAAGTACTCGATCATGTGGATCATGTTGTGCTGGTTCTCCTTGTCCTTCCGGCGCAGGGCGTCCAGGATCTTCACCTCTACGAGAGCCTGGTGGTGGAATCTGGTCGGGGAAGGGGGTGGCGGAAGGGGGGTTGGAGATAGGGGGAGAGGAGGGAGAAGGAGGGGAGGAGGGAGAAGGAGGAGAGGAGGGAGAAGGAGGAGAGGAGGGAGAAGGAGGAGAGGAGGGAGAAGGAGGAGAGGAAGGAGACGAGAGAGAAGGAGGAGAGGAGGGAGAAGGAGGAGAGGAGGGAGAAGGAGGAGAGGAGGGAGAAGGAGGAGAGGAAGGAGAAGGAGGAGAGGAGGAAGAGGAGGGAGAAGGAGGGGGAGGAGGGAGAAGGAGGAGAGGAGGGAGATGGGGATAGGGGGAGAGGGATGGGGAGAGTGAGAATGGAAAAGGAGAGGGGGGAGTGG